CCAGCTGCGAGACCCTGAGCGTTCTTTGAGAGCCCGGCCGGGTGTTGACGCGCGCGCTCCAATGCCTGCGCTCGAGTTTCTGCGCACCGTCGCCGCCCGCGCGCGGGGCCGCGACGCCAGAAGGTGTGTGTGTGTGTGTGTGTGTGTGTGTGCGTGTGTGTGACTGTGTGTGTGTGTGTGTGTGTGTGCGTGTGTTTGTGTTTGTGTGTGTGTGTGTGTGCGTGTGTGCGTTTGCGTGTGTGCCCCGTTGCTAGCCGACCGCTTGCTGGACCCAGCTTGCTCAGAAGGTGGGTGTGCGCGTGTGCTTCTGTTTTTTTTTGCCCCCTTCGCCTTCTCCTGGATCGGGGCTGCGGGGCTGCGTGGGGTGCACCTAAGGTCCAAACACGCTCAGCCTTCTGCGACTATCGCTGAACAAGCCTTTCTATGTCGGCGACCTCGTCACCTTGAATACAAATGGAGCCATGGATTCCCCAGGCCTGCTGCTGCTGCTCCTCCTTCTCTTGTCTCCTCCCCCCTTTTCCTTCCCACCCTCATGGATACACCAGGCGCATCTATCATGGGATTCGTCGAGAACATCACAATGATGTACGTGGTGGTCAGGAACTTCGAGATGAAGCAGACGTGGATCCCACACAAGACCTTCAGCGGCATGATAATCCAGAATTGGACCCGGAGGCCTAGTAAACGGTTAATAGCTTAGAATATCATGATCCCCGAAGGAGAACTTGTATCAACATAAACATTCAAGGGTCCGTGCAGTTTTGGGTTTGCGCTGTGATCCGCTGGCGGCGCTTCTGGCGCCGCCCCTGACGCGCTCCGCGCCTGAGGGGGAGGAATCCAGAGCTGGTTGCAGAAATCATCTGCGTGGTTACAGAAATCATCCGCGCGGACCTCCGAAAGTGTTAGTTTATGTATTTTGATCTTCTTCTGCAGAGCAAGCAGGATCAGGCAGGAGGACCATTCTTGGGCTATTCCTTGCTTCGCGAGGGGCCTTACGTGTAAGGGGCCCTGACGGTGGGTGCATCCCCTCCGAGCTATATGGCATGCTGCACTGAGGTGTAGCCGATGACGCTGTGTCCCAGCCTGTAGCGCCGGCCTGCCTCGCAGGCCGGCGCCCCCCCCCCCACACGAACAGCTCCCAGCACCATAGCTGATGGCATGGCTCGCGTGTCCGTCTGTCTCCTCGGTGGAGCCGGAGTGGGCCCCGATCTCAACCAGTTATGTAGCTCATGATCGCTCCCGCCGCCGCGGCTCCCACGCCACGGTCGTGTCTCTCCCGTGCCCGCGCTCCCTCGCCGTGGCCCGAGCACGCCTGCCGCCTCCCTCACTCGAGCTGCTCTCTGCGCTGTGATTGGCGCATCGCCCGTGCTCTGCGCGCGCCCTGCCGAGCGGATCCCTGCCCTGGAGCTGAGTGCACAGACCCTGCGCGCCGTCCCTGCTGCCACTGCCCGCCCTTCTTGCGAGGCGTTGCCCGCTGCAGATGATGACGGTGGGCTCCCCTTCCCCACCCGCTTGGCACCACCGCGCTCCGTTCTCGCAGTCCACTCTGGTCCCCGCCTCGTGGCAGGGGTCGTGGGGCGGGCCTGGTTGTCCTTCGCCCCCACACGCGCCTCTTTCTCGAAGTCGCTGTAGCGGTTTGCATGCTTCCACTGCTTGCCCTTCTCGCATGCCGTGGCCCGAGCGATGTAGCTGATGACGGTGGGCTCTCCTTCCTCCCGCCATTCATTTGTTGCCACTGCACCCCCTTCTCGCAGTCCACCCTGGTCCCTGTCGTTCGGCTGGGGTCGCGTGGCGGGCCTGGGGCTCCTCTGCCACTTGCTTTCCCGCAGGAGATGGCCCCTTCGCTGCCTGCTGCCACTGCCTGCCGTCCTGCCACGCCGTGGCCCGAGCGCTGTAGTTGATGACGTTGGGCTCGGCTTTGTCCCTCCGCTGGCAACCAGCGCCCGCCTTCTCACATTTGCTGCCGCTGCGAGCTGCTTCTCCAGCCGCACAGGCTGCTTTCTGCCACCGCCTGGCTGTGGCACATATCGTGGCCAGAGCGTTGTAGCTGATAGCGTTTGCTTCACTGTCGATCGGCGCCCGCTTGTCCCTAATGCCTGCTTCTTGGCAACCGTCAGATAATACTTCAACAACGTCCGTCGATCGGTCCGTCGGCCATTTCATGCAGAGATCACGAGCCCGTCAGGGGGCCCGTGCACCATGAAAGGGATGCGGACTCCTGAAGATAGGAGTACGCTGGTGAGGGAGGTGGAGCTCTCTTGATGGCGGGGCGAGGACGGGAAACGGGAGGGGGGGCGCGGAGAGAGAAGCGAGGCCATCGCGAGACTGCGCACCCAGTTGTTACCTGGTCTCAATTCCGTAGCTGGTGACGTTGGGCTCCAACCTCTTGATGGCTCCAGCGGAAGGGGATGGCTTACCGTTTCTAAGGTCAAGATGTCGATCGGCATCAGCTGCCGCTGCCCCGTCAAGAAGGTGCAGCGGCTCACGGCCTTCGGCATGAAGTGGATCGAGAAGTCTCCCGAAATCCAGCAGGACAGGGTGGAAACTGATGATGATGCTGCTGATGATGATGTTGATGAGAGGAGGAGGCGGAGGAGGAGGATGATTAGGATGAGGATGAGGATGGATTCTGACGATTAAGCTGATGCTGATGCTGATGCTGATGAGGATGGGGATGCTGATGCTGATGATGCTGCTGATGATGATACTGATGATGATGCTGATGCTGATGATGATTATGACGCTTATGATGGTGATGGTGATGCTGCTGCTGATGATGATGACGATGATACTGCTGCTAATGCTGATTCTGATTATGATTAGTCATATTATGATTATTAGTGTCGCTGTAATTTTTATTGTCTTATCAATGTCATTATCATTATTGTTTGTGTTTCATCATTATTATGGCGACTATTATTATTATTATTATTATTATTATTATTATTATTATTATTATTATTATTATTATTATTATTATTATTATTATTATTATTATTATTATTATTTATTATTATTATTCTAGACGCTTCGCGTATCCCCACCAGCCCGTCCAGAAATGAGCCCCAGGGGAGTGGAGGTGATGAGGGAAGCGGGGGAGCATGCAGAAGAACAAAGAGCGGGTTGAGCCGCCATACGCCCCAAGAGGGGGAGGATGTAGGAGGAGTCGTCGTCGTCGGAGTAGGAGGAGGAAGACGAGGAGCAGGAGGAGGAGCAGGAGGAGGAGGGGGAGGAGGAGGAGGAGGAGGAGGAGGAGGAAGATGAGGAGGAGGAGATGGAGGAGGGCGAGGACGAGGAGGACGAGAAGGAGGAGGAGGAGGAGGAGAAGGAGGAGGCGGAGGAGGGGGAGGGGGAGGAGGGAGGAGGAAGAAAAAGAGGAGGAGGAGGAGGACAATGGCGAGCTTGGGGGCCTCTTGGGCCGTCTTTGGGGCCTCTTGGCGGTCCCGGGGGCCTCTTGCGTATCTCGGGGAGCCTCTTGCGGCCTCTTGGGGGTCTCTTGGGGGCCTCTTGGAGGCCTCTTGGGAGCCTTTTGGGGCCTCTTGGGGCCCTCTTGGGACGCTCTTGGGGCGCTCTTGGGAGCCTTCGAGGCGCTCTTGGGGCAATCTTGGAGGAGATCTATCAAAGAAGGGGGGGTCCCCAATTAGCGCTGCCCCTCTAGAGTGCCTCGAGTCGCCTCTTGGGCTCCCCAAGAGGCCAAAATCCTTACAAAACCTATGGAAAATCAATGTTTTTTGATTTCTCGCATTTTCGCTCTTGGAGCCTTCTTGGGCCATCTTGGGAGCCTCTTGGGGCCTCTTGGGGGTCTCTTGGGAGCCTTTTGGAGGCCTCTTGGGCGCCTCTTGGCATCTCTTGGAGCCTCTTGGGGTTCTCTTGGGGCGCTCTTGGGGCGCTCTTGGGTGCCTTCGGGGTGCTCATGGCGCCATCTTGGAGGAGATCTATCAAAGAAGGGTGGAGCTTTAATTAGCCCCGCCCCTCTAGAGTGCCTCGAGTCGCCTCTTGGGCCCCCCCCCAAGAAGCCAAAACCCGTCCAAAACCTACAGAAAATCATTGTTTTTTGCTTTCTCGCCTTTTCGCTCTTGGAGCCGTCTTGGGCCATATTGGATTCTCTTGGGGCCTCTTGGGAGTCTCTTGGGAGCCTCTTGGAGGCATCTTGGGCGCCTCTTGGGGCCCTCTTGGGGCGCTCTTGGGGCGCTCTTGGGGCGCTCTTGGGAGCCTTCGGGGCGCTCTTGGGGCCATGTTGGGAATATATATCAAAGAAGGGGGGAGCCTCAATTAGCCTCGCCCCTCTAGAGTGCCTCGGATCGCCTCTTGGGCCCCCCCAAGAGGCCAAAATCCTTCCAAAACCTAAGGAAAATCAATGTTTTGTGCTTTCTCGCCTTTTCGCTCTTGGAGCAGTCTTGGGCCATCTTGGGCGTCCCAACGCGTCGCGGAACGCCCCGTCCAGGTCAGTGGGGAGGGGTAAGGGGAGGGGTAAACCCCTCCCCGAAGGGAAAGAAGGGGGGTTGGCAGAGGAAACGCTCTAGACCACCTACGCCCTAAAGGGCTGGTGGGATTATTATTATTGTTATTATTATTATTATTATTATTATTCAAGATGTCCTTGATATGTAGTTATGATTCGTCTTATCATTTATTACTACGAAGGTTTATTCATGATCTTATGCGTGTGATTGCTATGATTGCCAGGTTATTGTTTTTGTTATGGTGCTGTTGTGGCTATTGTTGTTGATGGTGATGCTGAGGGTCAAATTGAGGACGATGACGACGAAGAGGAGGATGACAAGGGAGAGGATGATGATAGTGCTGCTGATGATGATGGTATTGACTAAGAGGAGCAGGGGGATAAGGAGGAGGAAGAGGAGCAGCAGGATGAGGATAAGGATGAGGATGACGACGAGGACCAGTTAATTGGGATTCTGATGATGGTGGTGATGATGATGGTGGTGATGATGCTCAACATAAGTACAACTGGCGTCCGAGTCCCTGGGCCCAGGAACACTACGCTTTTTCAGCACTCCCCACCTTGCCAGCGTTTAACTTTCCCGGTGGTCCGGGACCCCTTCTCTGAGCGCGTCAGGGCCAGGCCCGCTGTTGGGGGACCGCACATCGCCTCCCAATGCGCCAAAGATGGCCTTCACGTCGTCCACGATGGCCCCAGATGGCCGTCAAGACCGCCAAGATGGCCTCAAGACAAACCAAAGACGCCCTCGAGACGGCTCAACAGGCCCCCAAGACAGCCCAAGAGGGCTCCAAGAGGAACTCCAGGAGGCCCAAATCATACATTTTGGCCCATGGGCCCCCGAGATCGGGCCAAGACGGCCCAAGAGGCCCGGCCCGCAAGAGGTTCCAAGACGGCCCCAAGACGGCCCCAAGACGGCCCCAAGACGGACCCATAGACTCCCAAGACGGCCCTCAAGCGCCCAAAGGAGGACCCACGACTGCACAAAGAACGCCCGAAGCCGGCTTCCGAAGGCCACGAGGTCCCTCAGAGGCCCCAGATGCCCCAAACAGGCCCCAAACAGGCACCAGGACCCCCCCAGGAGGCCCCAGGAGGCCCCCGAAAGGCTCCCAAGACTTCCCAGGAGGCTCCCAGGAAGCCCCAAGACGGCCTCAAGAGGCCTCCTTTTCATCCTCTTGCTCCTCGTCCTCCTTCTCCTCCATCGGCTCCAATGATGCCGCAGACATTGAGTTTTCAGAAGGAGGCACATGAGCCCCAAGTGTTGCAGCCACACCCTCGTCTCCAAGAACGTCGTGGCGTCTGCCTCCCCTCCCCGGTGTCGCAGGGCCCTCTTCTCAATGGACTCCTTCTCCTTCCATCCGTACTCTTGGGGCTGGCAAAGAGGGGGCTGATGACTAGGGGGGGGGATATTTCCCCAGATTTCATGGCGCCTCTTCTTATTGCATTACGTCCCTGGCCCCCCCTTTGGCCGCGCACATGCCGCCGGCCATGATTTGCACCCCCCCCTCTTGGACGTCCCCCCCCCTCTTGGCCGCCCCCGATACTCCTCCCTCCTTGTCCTCCTCGGCACTCGTCCTCTTGTTCTCCTCCCTCTGGGGCTCGAGGGCCGAGGGGTGCGGGAGAGCAGGGTCCAGGGGTCAGGGATGACGGGGTCGAGGGGTGAAGGGTCCGTACTCCCTCCCTCCTGCGACGAGGGAGGCTCGAGGGTTGAGCAGCTCGCGCGTCTGTGGGCCTCCACAAGGGCGCCCTCGAGGGCGCGAAGTTATTCGCGCTTCGCGCTTCGCGGTCCTCGCTCCTTCTACCCCTCCTCCTCGTCCTCCTCTTCTCCCTTTGGGGGGGCGGCGCGAGAGCGCGAAGTTATTCGCGCTTCGAGCTTCGCGGAGCGCGAAGCGCGAAGTTGGGAGCCCTAGCTCCAGCTCCTCCGGAGGAGGAGCAAGGGAGGAGGAGACAGGACAATTACCGAAAGTGCCACGTCACCAAGACCGCGAACGGCTTTAACATTGAGATCATCTTCTACCCTGGCATCGGCGTGTCGCACAGAGGTTGCACTCACGAAGTCGCCGTCGTCGTCGTCGGCATCGTCGTCGAGGTCATCGTCGAGGTCATCGTCGAGGTCGCTGTCGTCGTCAGCCTCGAGGCTGCGGACTGTGAACTTTGGAATGGACTCGCGTGAGCGGAACCACCTCACTTCGATATACATAGCTGTATACATATACAAACTGAATGCGTGTTCTGGATTTCTAGAATCACCGAGGCATCCGGCAGAAGTTCCTCTGGAGTTTCATGGCCGCGGCCCAGCGCATGGACATACCCTTCGTGCCCGCGCGGACCTTGGAGAGGAAGACCCTGACCCGCCGATTGGGGCTCGTCCGCCGATTGTCGATCGGGGCCGATCAGCAGGTCTTTGGTCGATCAGCAGGCCTCCCATCGATCGAGCAGCAGGTCGGGACCGACTGGCAGGGCTCCGATGCACCACTCGGTCAGGATCGGGGTCGATGAGCAGGCCTCTGGTCATCATCGAAGGGCCAACACGGCATAAACATAATCTTTCGGAGGTCCGCGCGGATTTCTTGGATCTGTGCTGGGCCCCCCAGGCGACGCCTCCGGCGCCACCCCTGGCGCGCTCCGCGCGCCATGGAGGGGGATCCAGCGCCGATCCAGGAAATCCGCGCGGCGCTCCGAGAATCGGCGGCGAGCCCAGGGGGGATGTCAGCAAGAGCGGGCCTTCCCAGAAGGATCGGAAGGCCTCTGGCCTTTGAGAAATTCGCTGGGCCGTTTTCGAAGACAGGGGCGGCTTCGCAGAAGGCCTGGGCTCTGCTGAGGAGGCCCGCCGCCTGCTGAGACGGCCTGCCCCCTCTCATTTTCGGCCGTGTGCCTCCACCGGGGGAAGACGATCCCCATCGCGGTGGTGGTGGAGGTATTCGGTTAGATGCTCGCTTCGGGGACCTTCCTGGGGCCAACCTAACGGATCTGGTTGACTCCAGTTCGACCCCAGTTCGAATCAAATTCGACTCAGGTTCGACTCAGGTTTGACTCAGATT